CAAGTGGAATTTTTAATTAACGGGTTTCGACAGAACATTTTGTTTTGTTTTTATGATTCTCACTGATTACTGGCATTACAAATTGAAAATCAGAGATTGGCCAACAACCAAAAAAAAAAGTATAAATGGATGAAAGGTTAAAAACTATTTATTACTTGAATCACTCTGATAACGTAACTTTATCTACAACAGACAACATACCTGCCCATTTCATTATCTATCAGCACCAAAATACAGGTTCATGTCTTCATCAGCATCATCTGTTCCTGATTTGGTGGGATGGAGGGCTTCTTGCCAAGGTTGTTCTGTGTCCAGCTTGGAGCCTGTCTGAAATCTCCACTTCCCACTGACGGTTATGAGGATCTGGCTATTCGGGTTCCTTGCATTCCATAGACTCTATCAGGTGATGGGAGCGGGAGGGGGAAGAGGGGGGAGAAAATGAGATTAAACTGCGATTTCTGAATTGGAATTAACAGATCACACGCACGGATATGCTTCTCACAGCTGGGGAGATCTTACCCATCCAGTATTGGATATATTATGGTTAAGATCTCACCTGAAGCATCGTTCAATGATCAGACTGGCTATATCCCCACACAGGAAATCCACACACACACACACACACACACACGCACATCACACATCACAGTGTCAATAAACTTCATGTTCTTCGTTACCAGTTAGCCTCACATGATGCATGTTGATTTCAGAGGCGTATAACATTGTCTGCGTGGTGTCTTGCTGGCTTCTGTGTTATAGGTAGTGTTGTCGTTGTATGTGTGACTTGTGTGTGTTGTTGGTGTGTGTGTGTGTGGTGTGTGCGCGCTGCGCACTTCTAGGCCAATAACAACCCACAGTCCTGCTCAGCATGCTTTAGTTTTACAATGTGTGTCCACATGGCATGTCAATGACTTGGGACGAACCGCACACAATGGTCCAGGGTACATGTTAAATATGAGTGTGGTGTGTGTGTGTGTGTGTGTGGTGGGGGGGGGTGGTTTGGAGAGTGGAAGTAAATACATTGACTTCATTGACATAAATGAAGATTTGCATTATCTCTAAAGCAATAGTTCGACATTTTGGGAAATACACTTATTCACTTTTTTGCCAATAGTTTCCACCTGTTTCCAGTCTCAATGCTAAGCTAAGCTAACTGGCTCCTGGCTGTAGCTTCATATTTATGTTGGAGACATGAGAGTGGTGTCGATCCTCTCGTCTAACTCTCAGCAAGAAAGCAAACAAGCATATATCCCAAAAGGCTGAATTATAATGAGTGCTACATAGATCAATCACCCATAAAAGAGTGAGTCATTTCTTTAAAGTCAGGACATCAGAGTCACAGTGAAAGCCCACCGTTTCAGACGACATCTCAACACATGAGACTAGCACTTACTGATATCTAATGTCTTAACCTAAATAAGAAACCACATAAAGTCTAAGCACCTCTACTAAACAGACTGTTTGTTGTTTGTTGGGGAGAGATGCACTTACAGGTTTTTATAGCACCCAGCTATTGCTCCAGCAGAGGTTGAATGCACATATTGTAAATCGCTTTGTGCAAAAGCAGCTGATGAGTGCAGTGTAATGAAATCTATTGCAAAATCATCAGTCAGAAAGATTTTCAACATGCAGAGATAAGTACTTTTTGAGGAATTTATAGAGACGGAAGGAGACGCGCACACGCAAAGCGCACGCATACACACACCACATGCTGGCACGAGGACTTGAGTAAACCACTGGAGAATGTGTGTAAACACACGGTGAAGCACTTCTACTCTCCTCCGCTAACCGCCTGGCAAAGTCTGTGTATGTGTGTGTGTTGGAGTATATGTGTGAGTGCAAGCCCAAAATCCCACTGGAAACTATTTCCTCTACAAGAGCATTAAAGCATCACCGCTCTCTTAGATGTCAACACCAGTGAGCCCTCTCCTCGCTTTCTTTTTCTTTTCCTCTGTCCGTCTGTGTTTCTCTTTTCTTCTCATCTCTTTCTTCTTTGGCCCTCCATCTCCCCCTCTCTCATTGTCCGTCCTGTGCAATAATTTTTGACAGAGCAGTTTGATGTAATAGCACTGGATGTAAGTGCCTTTGTTGAGGGCGATCCTTTGATCTATTGCTGATTTAATGGGCACTGGAAACCACTTTTAATAGTAATGTAATGGAAAAAGTGAGGTACAGCATTTCAGTCAACTTGATATGTCAACACACACACACACACACACACACAGAAATAGCTATCCTCAGAGTGGACTTAACTGCGAATTCAGACCATACTGGAGCGCATTAAATCATTTTTGATGAGCTCACAGTTAATGGTTTAAGCAGACAGAGCCGGGACTACACACTCACAGCCAAAACAAACTACATACCCAACATTCCCCTTACCTGACATCAGCCTGAGCTTGGGCCCGCGGGCCATCTCCATAGCAACTCATTTGTCTTCATTAGGGCTCGTCCGATGGGTTGTATTGCTCCCCAAGGGGATTAATGAAGTTGTCCCGAATTAAATGGAGTTCTCAGATGGTCACTGATGATGAGTTTTAATCATGTTCGGACAGAAACAAGAAAACTAACTGAAAAACATCATGTAGGATGTTAGCAGGTGTGCTTCTCTTTTAGGAATTTGCTGTTGTTTAGAGTTAGATAAAACTCATATCTAAAACAGCTAAATATGATCAATATTTTATATATTTACAATGGATCACATGAGTACTCGTATGTGAAAGGTGTCATCCAACTCTGCAGTTCTCCTCAGCTGTACGGAGCTTCTTATTGTTTTGGTTTTACGGCACACAACTTTCCTGTTTTGCTTTTCACTCTTCAGCATAGTTTCCGGCCTCAGCATGCAGCTGTTTTTGGTAGAACAACATTTAAAAATTGCTATACACTACCTACCCAGTCCCAAAGAGCAGACAGATAAAGTTGCCAATTAGCTGGTGAACATAGTGGAGCATTTAGCTGCTAGAAAGCCCGATATTTCCCTACCCCAGGATTTGAGGGAGAGCAAAAGCAAAACTAAAAGAGTGAATATTGGACTATAATTTATCAGGTGGCCAGAAATAATCCTCCAAATGAATGCTAATGTTTTTTGTACCTGCTGGAGGCTAAATAGGTCATTTCAACGTTTATTAGGTAATAATATGTCAATGCTGTGTTTTCCTCTGCCCCCAAGTGGCCAAAAATCAGTAATTGCCACATTAATTATGTAGCTACAGACAAGAGACAGCTTAATTTAGCATAAGGGCTGGAAACAGCAACAGCTTGCATGGCTCTGTCTGAAGGTATCAGAATCTACCAGCACCTCTAAAGCTTGCTAAGTAACTACATCCCATGGGTTTAATCTGTAAAAAAGTTAAAAAAAACAACAATTTCTTGGCCATAGTGGCTTCCTGTATTTTCCGCTCGTTGCCTGGCAACCTCATGGTGATGATGTGTGATGAGCCCTAAAGGTGCTGGTAGGCACATGTTTTACCTTTGGATAGTGCCATGCAGGCTAGCTGTTTCCCACCTCCCTCCGGTTTAACGCTAAGCTAAACATCTCCTGGCTGTAGTCTCATGTTTACCGTACAGACATGCGAGTGGTATTGACCTTCTCATATCACTCTTGGAAATACAGTAAAAATGTCTACTTTGTAAAATGATCAACACCACATACCTGAGACTGGCGTCTGGTTGTCAGTGTGTCGTATCCTCATCACCTTCCCACCTTGCACCCCTTTAGGTGAAAACATGACAGTTCTAAACACGGCTGATTGGCTGTTGGGCTGCAGCAGCCCGCCCCCTCCCCCGGGCTCCAAGGACTATGGTACAGAGGTGCATGTGTGTGAATCCAAGGCCAGATTTCATACAGTATTACCTTAAATGCAAAAGGAATGGGTTTCTATAGTTTGGGCTGGTCCTAGATCTGATGTTTTCTTGTGCCAGAATTGATTTTCATTTGCTTTGCAGTGTTGTCTGCTCTTTGGATCCCATTGTGAATTTATCACAGCGTGTGTGGAGTTGTTACATATTTGCAGGGTTCCCACCAGCCAACAAATTTATGAAAAGGTGGTGAATTTGATTAATTGGCTGGGAATGAAAGCCAATATCAGGAAATTTTCAAAACTTAATCAAGGAGGAATGAAACCTTTAGGTCAAGGTGGTGTTTTGTCTTGGTTATAGAAAGTCATTTAAAAGCTTATAGTGGGAACCCTGCACACAGCATTTGCTCCCATACTCGAACTGCATGGTAGTTTCCAGCTCTTTTCTCAGTAAGGTTTTCTTTGTGTGTGAGTGTGTGATGGTACTTCCTTACTGGCCTCCCCTAACATCACTCTTTTCCATCTTCCTTAAGTGAAAACAGAGCCTATGAACAACAGCGATACAGTCACTACGACAGGCGACACAGTATTGGACACATACGCAGGCTCAGGTAACACACACATCTGCACACAGAAATGCACTCATGTACAGTTTTCACATCTAGAAACAAAAACAAATCCACATGTCTCTGTACTAGTCAGCTCTGTACCACACACAAACACCATCATCCATTTCAGCTCAGCGGTAGGCTTGCTGAAAGCTTTAATCCCATGAAGTATTGCCTGTCCTTGGATTGCGTCATCAAAGGCTGGCAGACGGGTGAGAGAGGGAGAGACATTTTTACACTTGTCTTTTTTTTTTAAGACTCCGGACGACCCTGCGCCCCTTCACGCTGCAGAACACACACTGATACACAAAACCATTAAGCAACACACAGTGAGGGTTTAGAAGCAGCGGGGTGTTTGTCAGTATTGAGCTCTGACATCTCAATGACCACAAACAGACATTGTGTTTTACTATGAGGCCCACTGTAAGGGTTTCACAGCATACAGTGCTCTCTAAAGGGGGAGAACTTGGCTCCTCTCCATTCAAAATGCTTCAAATTATGTTTACTGGAACAGCATTTCAGCTCAAACAAGCCGGAGGCCTTGAATTGTGCTGTTCAGGAGTGATTTTGTTAAATGTGAAAGGAAACAGAAGATTTGAGTTGACACCATTCATAACCCAGAAATGCCTTGTTGTTTTTGATTATTGTGCTGTTTTTAGTAATCACCAGCAGTGGGTACAGCCCTCGTTCAGCCCACCAGTACTCCCCTCCCCTCTACCCATCAAAGTAAGTCTTTTTACAGAGTGTTCTAACTATGCAACACAGCTGTACAAAACATTACCCATCTTCCTGCCAATTCAGTCCTCCAATCATTATCATCCTCGTTGTCTTACCTACTAACACCTCTCTGTCCTCTCCTCTCCCAGGCCCTACCCTCACATTCTCTCCACACCGGCAGCCCCTCCTATGCCGACGTACGCCGGTCAGCCCCAGTTCAGCAGTATGCAGCAGTCCACCGTCTACACGGCTTACTCCCAGACAGGACAGCCGTACGGACTGTCAACCTATGGTAATAAACACACGCTTACGTACAGTGACATACGGTAGCTGCACTAACAAACACATGGCGGCTCATTTTGTAATCCACTGAAAAAAGTGTCCAACTGAAGCATAAGAACTGATACGAAACAGCAATTATAAAAGGACAAAATCACAGAACTAAAACTAAGTTGTTATTGAATAAAGAAATGCAACTAGGTTACTTTTCCTTTTTTTATTGGCTGTTGTGTTTGACATAATTAGCCAGCAAAAACTTGTATTTAGAAAGCCAAAACGATGTCATTTAAACTAAAACTTCTTAAGTCTAAACTCACTGAGGAAAAGTAAAAACTTTGACTGACTGACATCGAAAGCAAATCTAGAAGTTATGATGGCCTAAAATATGTAGTTTCAAGAAAACAAATGTTAATGTAATTGTTTTTGGCAGGGCAGTTTGCTGATGCTGTAAACCATGCAAAGACTCTATAATATTCTGTGTTTTATATTACTGTCACAGACCTTGGTGTGATGCTGCCGGGCATTAAGACAGAGAGCGGCCTGGCTCAGAGTCAGTCTCCTCTGCAGACAGGCCTCAGCTACAGCCCCAGCTTCACCACGCCTCAGCCCGGACAAACTGCATACTCACCCTATCAGATGCCAGGTCAGTTGGAAACAAAAATATACTCAGTATTTTATATTCTTGCTGAAAATGATGACAGAAAAAATTGTGTTGTCTGTGTGTTTAATTCCTCTTCTTCTTTGTGCCCCAAGGTTCCAGTTTCACTCCTTCCTCAGGCCTCTATGCCACCAATAACTCAGTGTCCAACCCCGCCAACTACACTGCCACACAGCAGGTACCTCGGTGTCTTTATGCTTTGTGTGTGTGAGTGTGTGCTTGTCCTTTAGTTAAACCTGGACTGCTGGTACAGTCCAGCTGAAAGTTAGCTCAAGTAACAAACATGTTCCCAGGCCAATAAGAAAGCCTATTTCCGAGGGGAGTTCTTAGTTCTTGCCAGAGCAGATCAAACATGCTACATGTTTGCTCTGAGTGGCCAAGTACATGTCATAGGCCTCATTATGCCAACTCAAACTAAAGATTTTGTACGGCCCAGTTGCAATAGTATTTGAGACCAGAAGTGGTTTTACAGTCACACTCCCACACAACTTTCCTCATTCAGAGCCACTTCAAGAAATACAATCTAATTATACTGTGACCTTGCAGCAGGGACAAACTTAGGAGAGAAACAATTAGTCTTTGTGAAAGAGTGTTTTGTTTTGAATATTTCTCTATGTCCATATGATGAATTGTACTGTGGTAGTAAAATGCTTAAAGGGGGATTTTAATGTCCCACTATGATAGATGTGGCTGTTTACAGGAAGAAAGTCAAGGTTTGGCTTGTGTGGGTGGATTAAGGAGAATATGGTGTCTGTGTGTGTGTGTGTGTGTGTGTGTATGACTTTAACAGGAATAGAGAAAGCAAGCAACGACAGAAAGGGAGAGAGAGAGGCTGATTGAAAGCGAGTCTGTGTGTATACATTATGTGTGAATATGCATGCTTGCATACACACACTGCTGACTACACACCAACTGTGTGTGTGTGTGAGTGTGTGTGTGTGTGTGTGTGTGTGTGCATTCATGTGGTGGTGCTCCACTTTATAAGGACTTGTAGAGATGGACGTAGTGACAGGTTTAGAGAGCTGACTCATAAAAGCGCCCATCTCCACTGGGTCAGTAAAAAGCAGCAACACAAGGCTTGAATTGTTTTGGAGATATAAAGTACAGAATTGAGGGAATAAAAGATTAGAGAAATGAGAGGGAACACTTGTAAAATCTCTCTTCAAAAGTCACTTTGAACCTTTCCAGAAAAGTGAAACATCTCAATTTTCCTGTTTTTTTCTTGTTTGTGTTTTTTTTTTGTCTCTGCTCTTTACATCGTGTCTCACTGTGTGCTCATGATTGACTCTCTGCAGGAATATCCCTCATATACAACGTTTGGCCAAAACCAGTATGCCCAGTATTATTCCGCCTCCACTTACGGGACTTATATGACCTCCAACAGCGTGGATGGCACAGGCTCCACGGCGGCCTACCAGCTGCAAGATCCCACCCCTGCCATGACCGGACAGGCTGCTGAACTTCACCCAGGTTCGTACTAAAAAGGAAACACGCCAGTCAGAAAGAAACAAACCACAAACACTACACCACAGTTGTAACGTCATAAATATGCAAACAAATGTCAGATTCTTCACTGTTCCCTGATACTGGCTCCATCATCTTGTTTCCAGTAGGAAAATACCACAGTTTGGGTGACTGAGTTCAAAACTCTCTTTCAGCCATGATGAAGAACAGGAAGTAACTTCAGACTGTAGCCATAGTTACCTGGCATCGTGCTCGCTAATTGGAGAGTCGGCATTTGTTTACATTAGCCTCAGAGACTTTGATCCACTTTGAAGTTGTGTTAAATATTGCACTTTTGTGGACAAGTTAGAGAAAGAGGAGAAAAGGTAAAATAAGAGAGAGAGCTCCACTGCACCCGTACGTACAGAAATACGCCTTTTTTTCACATTTTCTTTGGTGTATCTTGGCTGTAATTCAGGAAGCCTGATTAAAGGAGCTTATCATTCTTCCTGTCACTGGCACTTTCCCTCTCGCTGCTTTTCTCACTATTTCTCCTCTTGCAGTTGCAGTTGGTATCTGTTTTTTTCTTGTCGCTCACATACTCTTTGTGTCTTTTTGTGTCTTTATCCACCCCCTTCTCTCCCTCTCGCTCGCTCCCTGATTGAGACATAACAATACGAGAGCTGAAGCTTAGAGTCTGGTTCTAGTTACCACACAGCAGTGGGAGCATATGGCATTAGGAGGGTGTGTGCGCGCGCAAGAATGTGTGTCTTGCTCTCGTGTACGCTCCTGCAGAATTTTGTATCTTTTGCAAGAAGCATCAGATTACCTAACTTTTCAAATTTATTGCACAGTTCCATCTTTCCCCTTCTCTGTTAAATCTTTACATTGCATGTTATCATCAATCAGTCAGAATATCAATGGTGCTTTTGTTTAGGTTTCTTAGTCTTTAAGTTGATCTGTCATGCCAATTACCATGAATTATTAAACCTGACAAGATGGCTTGTTACTGTACAAAATCTGAGTTATTGCTTTTCCTGAAGTGGATACAACTCCAGAGCACCTGTGGGATCAGCACAGACCTCGGCATTACTGTTGTTTTAATGCTGCGAATATAGTTTGTGATCGCCAGTGCAGTTCATTTGTACAATTTAAATGTTTAAAATCTTTAGCCCTGTCTGTGATTGCGTACACTCTCAGGGGACTTCGATACAGTGCAGAGCCCCTCCACACCCATCAAAGAGCTGGATGACCGAGCATGCCGGAGTGGGGGGTCCAAGTCCCGGGGCAGAGGTCGCAAGAACAACCCCTCCCCTCCCCCTGATAGTGACCTGGAGGTAAGGGACCAGAAAACACCCACTGACAGAGCACTTACAGTACTGACTAAATATTTCATTCAAATCTCTACGGATATGTGGTATTCCCTTTGATCTTCATCCTCTCAAAATACAGCAGAGGAAAGGCTGATAGAGAGGAGGACCACCCATGTCACTGTCCAGTTGAGGAATGAATGCACATATGTCCAAAAAGATGGACATACCATTTCTAAAAAAGCACCTCTTATTGTTTTTTCAGAGGGTATTTGTGTGGGATCTGGACGAGACAATCATTGTCTTCCATTCTCTGCTCACGGGCTCCTACGCACAGAAATATGGCAAGGTAAGATCATCATCCTTTCTCAGCTGGCTGTCTGTTCTTTTTGTGTTTTAATTTCTCTACATCCATCCACTCATTTTCTTTCTGTCTGCCAAAGCGGAATCCCAGATTACAGCTGGGACAGCAACATGTCTGATATTGATTAAATGAAGAGTAATGAATCTTTACACAAGATTTACCACAACTGGACAAATGGTGGATTTATAACTGAAGCATCAACATCTCAATAAGCCTTAGTGCAAGTGCAACTGCAGCTAGTGCTTTGTGGATTTTTGTGCCCCAGGCTTTGCCTCACCGGCTACATACAGGCCACTACGCCCTGCGATAATTTATGGAGGTTTGTTTGAGCCGTAGGTGGCTTGTCAAAGAGAGCTGCAGACACTATTCAAGTATTTCTATTTGTTCATTGTGTTTTTGGGGTAAAAAAAATAATTTTGTCTATATTGATTGAGTTAATATTAAGTTAAGTTAAAAATGTCCTAAAAAAAATGCTACAAATAAACATCAGTCAAAGATAAAAGATAATTTACATAAAATACAATTTTATTTGTATAATGTTTTTTGGACCACTGTTTATTAAACACAAAAATCAATTGTTATATCTCTAAATTTTACTTTCATGCAGTCTTTTACAAAATAAAATATTAAATATAAAACCCACAATGAGCACACAATTCAGATGAGCTTAATTTCCCTCAGTATAAACATTAGATGAAGTACTTCAGGAATGTTATGGTAAATTTATGATGATGATCACATCCATTAAAAAAAAATAATGAGTCTTTAAATGTACTACACATTAGTAATACATTTAAAAGCCATTAATAATTGTTCATGTTTACATTAGTTTAATCATAATTCAACATGTTAATTTCTTACTTGGACTGATGTTTATTCCAATCTTCACTATGAACTTATTTGGTGGTCTTGCCTTCTCATATAACAGCTACAATGTTTATAGTTCCCTTTATTTTAATAGTTCTTGGCTCTGATCTGGGATCATCTTATGTGGCCAAGGCTACAGATTTTTATTGGGTGATGTCGTTTCCTGTGGGCACCCGAGTAGCCACCAGCCTGCCTGTACGGGCTTTGCATCCCACTCTGCAGCCTGCAGAATCCGTCCTGATATTCTTGTTTGGCAGTCAAACAAAAGCTGGCATAGCACACACACACCATTTGGAGCCAGCCATAGGAGCCCAGGCGTTTTACGGATAGGGTTTGTGGCCATTGATGTACTTCCTAGTTGCTCTGCAGTCGTGGAATTTAATGTTTTGCAATTGGGATTTAATGGGTATAAGAAAGGCCCTGGTGAGTTGTAAATTGCTGTGAGTGTGTGTGTGTGTGTGTGGAAGAGAACACATGCAGCCTTGTGGTTAATTCAGCTTGGTTTGCATTGTTTTTGTAGTAGAGAAATACTGACTACCAAAGGCTAAAATCACAATTTAAGTCTTGGCTTGAGTAGACAAAGTTATGCATTTCTTCCTTTTGCAATCAAATAATGAATGAGATGTAGTCAGTGGCTCAACGTAGGTCCCATGAACCCTTTGATATTGTTATGTTTTGCGATAAAGCGCAAACCAAGTTGTCATCTGCAGTCGATTAGGTCCATGTAAACTGACACAGCATTAGCATGAAAAAAGAGGATATGCGCGTTGGAATATTTGCCTTAAAATAATTGTAATAGATTTTTTTCCCCCTTATTTGCTGCTTGCTGCCCTCGAGAAATATAGCGGCAGCTGTGTCTGTTCACACCTTGCCCAAAATAGTGTTTACACTGTTGATATAGCAACCGCAGGACCCAAGTACCCTTCTCCTACGGCCTTTGAGGGTATCTATCTGCTCTAAATTATGTTTCACTTTCTAATGAATATACACACTCTTTTCACACAGATGCACACCCGTCACACTCATCATTTCTCAGTACAGGAGTTGTTTAACAAGGGATAATGTTCATGAAGTGTTTCCAAATGCTCAAATGATAAACAGCGGAGGTGGAGAGTGAAATTGTTTAAGGCTACTCTTGCCAGGCTGTTCTTTCATGATTGATTGAACTCGTCTGTCAAAAAATAAAAAATAAAAAGCCACTCATCCTTCTTGGAGCCCAAAGCGCAGCCAAATTCAACTGCTTAAGGCAGTTTACACATTTTGACACACACTAATGTCCGTAACTCTCCTTTGGCTGGCAGCCAACATAATCATTACCTGAGAGACAAACACAAATGCCTCTTGTCTCTGTGATTGACAGGATAGCAGGAGAAGAAATGCAGTCAAAATTGTTGCTGTCACTATTAGCAGATGTTAAGTTTTGGAGAGCTCTACACACTTTCAGCTTTATGAAGCACTCGCTCTGTGTTTTTTGCACTTCAGAATGCCGTCCATCTCTCTCTTCCTACGTGTGCGAGCCTCGCTCCTTCACTTTCACTCGCCTTCCTGTTAGTTTCCTTCTATTCTGGTCGTCTGACGGCGTCAGCGAATCTCGTGGCAAGCTGTCGTCCCTTGCTGACCTATCACAGATGATGGTTTTTGCAGCTGAGCCCTGGGCTGGCAGGGCAGCCTGCGTTCTCCCTCACACACACACACACAAACCATTCACATGCCACATACACACCACACAGTGTCTCCCTTTGAGGGTAGCTACTCTCAGCACTACACACATGAAGACACACACTCTTCCTCTCACTCCCCCCCCTCACAAACACCCCCACACCCCTCCCTCCCACCCACCAAGCATGAGGAATGTTGATGGGACAGAACAAGTGCAACCTGTCTGTCAGCATCTGCTGTGATGAGTGGAGTGTACCAACTCTACAAGTGGGGGTGGGGGTGGGGGGCAAGGGTGTGAATTTAGGAAGAAGTAGGAGGTGTGTAAGACCTGAAATGTTTTTCGGGACAGGAGGAAGTAATGTGTGTCGGATTATGGCAATAAATTGTCATAATGGTGATGTCATGATGATGTTATCTTCGGCTTCCATTAGGACCCTCCTATGGCGGTAACGCTGGGTCTGAGGATGGAGGAGATGATCTTCAACTTGGCGGACACACACTTATTCTTTAATGACCTGGAGGTGAGACACAGATATCAGACTGACACACACACACACACACATACATTTACATTTTTTAAACGTGTGGTTAAAGGCTAAGAGTTTTTCTTGCACAGTATTAAAATTTTGCACAAAGCATTCAAATACTGCTACTGCCCTCTAGTGGTGTAAAGTGATGTAACACACCATTTACTATATACTGTAAATGCTGCACCATGTTTATATTCTAACTTTAGTCCATTTAGTTTTGTTATAATTATTACAGTTATATGTGTTTTGTTATAATTGTTTATGGTAAACAGATTCATACATTTATACATTGTTTTACTTTATTGTGACTCTCATTTTATATGCTATATGCTTCATTTGTATAATCTATAATGTTCTAGAGTTTCTCATCTATGCATCCTATTTTATTTGTGTGTCGTTTGTGTCTGTGTTTCTTTACAGGAGTGTGATCAGGTACATATTGATGATGTGTCATCAGACGACAATGGCCAGGACTTAAGGTGAAGATTTACCAAATTTCACATTTTTAAAATACCAAGTTCAACTTAAATATTGTTGATGTTTTGAGTTATTGTTTGTTTTTCAAAGGCCAATAATTCACATATTACAGTATTTGTTTACTGTTTGGCTCTTGGCTTTTTTTTAAATGGTCATGTATCACTGTATCAAAAACATTAACATTTATGTATTTCTTCTTAATATTTTAAAGGTAGTAATCAATTGCATTCTTACAAATGACATACTGGCAGTTATGTTTATAGTACTGAATAATAAAAATAACCCTTTGATCTTTTTGTTCTACCAGAGCAGATTTTTCAAATAAAACATATCATTATTATTGACAGTACTTACAGTTTTGCAACTGATGGCTTCCATGCAGCTGCAACCAGCGCCAACCTGTGCCTGGCTACGGGTGTCCGCGGCGGGGTCGACTGGATGAGGAAACTGGCCTTCCGCTACCGACGAGTCAAAGAGTTGTATAGCACATACAAAAACAATGTGGGGGGTAAGCCAATCTGACGGGAGTTTGCTGGACACCAGGGGCAGTTAAGGGGGTGATAGAGACGGGGAGTTTTTGTTGAGTTAAAACAATTCAATTCATGCAATCAGTCTGAAATAAGATTAATGGTCTATCTGAAAATATTCATGAACCAAAAGAATTAACTTGTTTCATGTTTTCCATATATTCTGGACAGGTTCTATTCATTTTTTTTTTTAAACCTTTGTGTCAGAGTATAATAGTTAATAAAAACGATAATGTTAAATGTATGTGATGCTATAGCTGAAAACTGAGGAAACCTTTTTGTAACGATTTTAATGAAATGATTACTAAAAGTCAGGAAAAAGGATAAAACCTGGACTTGGAAGCCCAATTCTGAAGGCAAATACTAAATGAATACATCACATAGAGCCTATGCATACACATATAATAAAGGTTCCAGTCAATCTATTAAAACAGCTAACTCTATAGCTATTATCAAAATAGGCTGAGATATCAATAGCAAAGCAAATCATGTTAACTGGACCAATTTTATGCTGAAATGAAAAATATATTTATTGTGGAGTGGAAACTATTATAAAACAGTATTTAGACCGGACTGTGGAAATTAAAACTCTCCACTGAGGCCCCTGTAAATGAGGTTTAGCTATACAAATATACAACAAATGCCATTCAACTATTAAGCACAAATGAACTGTGCAATGACACCAAACCTTCATCACAGGTTTTACAGTTTGTAATAGATAACACCAAAGCCAATATGTCACATTTCATTAAAGTCTCACATAAGATGCACTAAATCTGGGTCCAGCCTCAGTGGACCCAGTTTTGTTTGTTTGTGTGTGGCGCTGTGATGCTGCGAGGGTGTATTAAAGTCATGCTGTGCTTTAGGTCTGCTGGGTCCTGCTAAAAGAGACGCCTGGCTGCAGCTGAGAGCAGAGGTGGAGGCTCTGACTGACTCCTGGCTCACCCACGCACTCAAGTCCCTGTCCATCATCAGCTCCAGGTGCCACTTCATGTTCTATGTATTCTCTCCTAGTCTTTCCCCTCCGATAATTAATAAGGTCAAGAACCAGAGCGTGGGAACTAATCCATATTCAACAGATATTTATTCACGATCCATTCGTCCCTTTATTGATCCACTCGTCTTTACATAATGAGGTCTGCTCTCTGTCTGTGTCCCACAGGAGTAACTGTGTAAATGTGATGGTGACCACAACGCAGCTCATACCAGCGCTGGCTAAAGTTCTCTTATATAGTCTGGGGTCTGTTTTCCCTATCGAGAACATTTACAGTGCAACCAAAATAGGTAAGAAACACTCATGCACACACAGATTCCATGACTTTTAAACAATAATATAACATTGATGTAAATAATATAATGTGGAATGGATGTAATTAAATAGTGACTGTCTATATATTTGACCTATGGTATTTTAACGGTTCAAAAGCTGCATGTTTTTTGTTGGTTATCCATTATTTTGATGTTTCTTCATCTACTCCATATGTTACTGATATCCTGTTATGATGTTAAACTTGTTGCTTTTGTTGGACTCAGGTTCACTGAGCGGTTGGTTGGGAATGTTTGAGTTGCAGTAATGTTTTACTTTATAACCTGTGTGTGTGTGTGTGTGTGTGTGTGTGTTTGAGAGAGGGGAAAAATAAAACTGAACCCAATTCACATTAAACTATATTAAAGGAAAATATATCACGCTGGTTACACATTGGCCAAATACACATACCCCTTGACCATGACCAAAAAGCTATCAAGTATAGTATAATATTAGTCTACAATAAATCGTTTTCAGTGTAGTTTTTACATTTTAAATTACAATACTTGCACTATAACTACACAGCTGACATTATAGTACATCATTCTCTCTATATCAGTGCTCCCAGTTGCTAGGGCTGAGCAATATGGCCTAAAAATAAAATCTTAATACAAACTACAAAAGATACCATATCTTTGGTGAGCATATTTCTAATCTCTTATCACCTGTTCCCCCTGTTCTCATATGGGATACTATGGGAAAATGATTAAACACCTTTTGATGAGTGACGTGGCTGGATTAGACTTTTACAGAGTCCTTAACAGCTGTATATCCCCAAATTATAACATTGGTAGTTGAAATCTGGATTTGATGATCAATTTATTATTATTTATTTATTTCCCAGCTCTGCCTCTTGCATATTATTGCATTAGTATTACAGTAACTGTTATGTGATGCTTCTCTTTTTAAAGTACTATAAAAATACTATAAACAACTTTATAGTATTTATTTAGTCTGCACTGTGAAACACAGACCCTGACTCCTCAATCCAAATGTACTTAAATGTTACAAAATTGTGCCAACATGAGCATTACTTATTACATTAGGCATTTATTACCTAAGATTGATCACAATATGACAACAATTACTGTTTCTGTTTTTTGTAAGGGAACAGTCAAGTCAAATGAATATTTTTTTATTTTAATGTTCATTTCAAGCTAAGTGACAATACATTTGTGTTAAAAACACAAGATAACTGGGAGAAATTCAAACTTGTGCAGGCAGTCTCTCTGCTTAAGCAATTAGCCAGAAACACTGGCGTGGGGGTGTGTAGAATCTATAATATGCCATGTTTAATCCCAGAGTTATTCTCCAGCTCACACTGACTCTAAATAACATTAGATCCGTCCTCACCTCACATAATCCTGATCTTTCCTTCAACAACTCTGACAATTGCAGGTTTCTTGAGGCCGGACGCCCACACACTGAATGGACTCTATTAGCCTTAACCTCAGCCGGTTACGCCAACGTACTGCAACCGTGGCCAACACTAAATTATATTCAAGCGTACATAAATCTGTACAAAGGAAACAAAACAATTATGGGGCGGCTAGAGAGCCAAAACATTCAGGAAAGAAAACTCAAAGCCAAGTGTGTGCGTCTGTGTGTTTGTGAGCTTATGTTACACCCAGTTCAACCCCACGGTGCCTTGATTTAAGTGGACGTAGCAATGTGGTAACTATGGCAACTGCCTGAGGTTTAAGACACAAGCAGACTGCAAAAGTGTTTCAGGTCAGATGCCACATCCTATAGACTCCTGGACACATTACTTGGCATGTGGAGTTACTCTATGTGCAATTAGCGTTGTGTATGTTGTGCGGGGGGNNGGGGGGGGGGGGGGGGCAAAAGGTTAATATGGGGTGTGATTTCTGACATCACGTCTTCGAGTTGTCGTGGCAACAAGATTAAGTATGTTTATCCGAATGGAAGTACCTCTCAGGATGCACCATGTGGGTGTCAGGATTAATCAGAGTGAGCGATCTGCTGTAGGATAATGGTGTGTGTGTGTGTGTGTGTGTGTAAAAGCATCCTCTCCTTGTCCTTCACTTCACCCTTGAAGCACACAGCTCTGTTTTATCTCCGTCTAAACGACAAATGAAAAACCTGTGAAAGCCATTTGTTTGTCTCCAGGCAAAGAGAGCTGTTTTGAGCGTATAGTCTCCCGCTTTGGCACTAACATTACATATGTTGTGGTTGGCGATGGGAAGGATGAAGAGCATGCAGCCAGCCAGGTAAACAAACAATTTCTGAACTCTGACCCCTCTGACCATGTGACCCTCCTTCCTTCCTCCCCTTGTTTATTTGTTTTTTTGCAGGAAAAGAGAGTTGCTTTGAACGCATAATGCAAAGGTTTGGCAGGAAAGTAGTGTATGTTGTAATTGGGGATGGTGTGGAAGAGGAGCAGGCGGCCAAAAAGGTAATGGACCCGCAACCTCACCGTGACCCCGCCTACTCCTCACAGTGTGAGCTCTGATTGGACGAAGCCTGCCTTTCTTTGCTGTAGAGGTTTTGTGTTGGTCGTTCACTTTTTTCTGTTTCTGTACTTGCTATTGCTTTTTTTTTTCTTCCCCTTTTTCATGGAGTGACACGAGACTTTTAATTGCAAGTGTCAGAGTGAAAATGTGAGATTGGGGCTCAGCTAATGTTGTACATTTTGCACCAACTGAAAGTCAAATATACAAATTTGTGTTATTAAAATGAAATTCATTGCTTTGGATCATATAAACGATGTGATTTGTGTCACATTTGACACTGAAAATAAATGGCTGCCCAAATGTACGCAGTGATTAAGCTTTGAACAATCTCATTTGTTTAGAGCAACAATGTTTTCCAGCGGTGTGCGGAGTTTTGTTGTACATTGATACTGTAGTTTATATTATTGATATAGTAGAGTTATATCACAACAAAAAAAGATGATAAGTAGTGATATGCTCTAATCCATAGCACAGACATATTTCCTTAATTGTGAATATAAATCCCATCTCTTCTCCAGCTTTGGGTTTCATTCTTAATGCTGGGTGCTGGGATTGTTAAAGGACTACTCCGACATTATGGGAAATATGCATATTCGCTTTCTTGCTGAGAGTTTGATGAGAAGGCAGATACCACACTCTTATCTGTCCATTAAACATATGGCTACAGCAGCCAGTTAGCTTAGCTTTGCTTAAAGACTGGAAGCAGAGGGAAACAGCTCGTCTAGCTCAGGCCAAAGGTAACAAAATCCACTTTGCAGTGTCTGTAAAGCTCACTAATTAACAGTGGGGTAAGCTATTGTGGAGAAATCCAATACCATGATATAGTGCAAACACCAATGTCTGTGAGAAACTTAATGTTACCTGACACACAAATCATGGCTGGAAATAAAAAGTTAGTGCTGTGTGGCTCTGTCCGATCCACTTTCCACATTTGTTTTGCATTTACAGAGCCAGGGCTGTGTACAGCACACACATAAGCGGAAGGCCTAGTGGACCATATTGCAGCAGCCCAGGTCCGCCCCCACCCTGTCTATCTTCACCTGTCCGATCAAATAAAGCCAACAAAAGCCCAAAAAATATTTTGGAAATAACACACAGATTATCATTTTTACACCTTGTACAGATTAAACAAATAACACATCAATTTGTGAGCAATAGAGGCAAATTTTATTATCTTTTGAACAGAACCAGGTTAGCTGTTTTCCCATTTCCAGTCTTAATATACAGCTGATGGCTATCGCCTTATTTAATGGAAAGATAAAAGTGTGATATCCATTTTCTCATGCGCATTAGCTCTGTGTGGAAGCAGTTAAGCACATATCCCAAAATGCTGAGCTCTTCCTTTAAGCCTTAGGATTGCATGGATTTTGTTTGCAGTGCTTTTGCAAAGCAAGCAGCTACAAGCTACTGTAGTGTAGCTTGCATGTCTTTAGGTGGTGGTATGCGGCTATGAAACTGTATTGCTGGTTTTAATGACGTGTGTATTTTCACTCTACAGCACAACATGCCTTTCTGGAGGATATCCAGTCACTCTGACCTGCTGGCACTACACCAAGCACTGGAGTTTGAGTACCTGTAACTATTATAGCAATATGGACTCATGCAATGTTACCATGGACATGGTCAGCCAGGCAGCCCCCCTTCTTTTGTATAACTATTTAAGAACAAACAATACACTGCAACTGTTTTTGTGATTTTATTTTTGTCTTGTTTTTTGAACGTCTGGATTTACAAACTCTGAACGGTCTTAAGAAGCAAAAGGAGAGGTGAAAAGGAGGTAAAGAAAAAGAAAAGAACAATGGGGTTAAGAGACGACTCAACTATATCCAGCTCAGCCCCCCCACCCCACCCACCCCCATGCCCTTGATGCTGGGAAGGGACCGCTGTGAAAATCCTGTCTACTGTCCTTGCAGCTGTAGCAGACTGAAAGCCTGTAAAGGCTAAAAGACCTCCCTCGGCCTGGGAGGATGTTTCTTTGGGCAACTCCTTGATGTTTGGTTTGTTCTGGAGCACCCAGGCTAGTATCAGGCCTGTTGTGGGTCACCTGGGACGAACTATCTTCAAACAATGAGGGCTTCTCTGTACTCTTATGTGTGCGGGGATAACGGCTGCTTTTTTAAAGTGTTTTCTTCCTGGTGGTATAATCACAACACAACAATGCAGTCTGTGGCAGAAACTTGTAAATTATTTACAATAAACTTAAAGGGCAGTGGTGGATGTTTTTGTCAAGGAAAGGAAATTCATTTTGGGTCTTTTTTTCTCTGGATTTTTGTAATTTTGGGGTTGGGGTGGGGGGGAAATGAGGATGT